GTTTGTACATTTTTCCCTTGATAAAAGTGGAGTGGATGCATTTGATCAAATCTCTGTTGCATTTAAATTTCTATGGGGAGGAGGAAAAAAAGTCATCTTATGTTGACTAATGTGTTAATTAAAAAAGCACCCCAAACCAAATAAATTATAATACAAAAACACCACAAAATTTACATTCTTGCATATGGAAATGTGTGCATTAGAAAGGTGATAGAAGATACAGTTCATGTAATGCATGTAATTACATATTCTGTCTTCACTCTGTGGTTTCACATTACTATACTGCCCGAAGCTGGCACTTTTCAATCCATGAAATCCACAGACTGTATATTAAATATAGACATCCTTAAACCCCCAGACTCTAGCTTGATCATCCATGCTATCAGAAGTAACCAAGTATGCTAAGCTAACATCGAACTCCAGTAAGGATAGTTACCAAGCTTGTTCCATAGACTCCGTGTGTGCATCATATACAGATACCTGCTGAAGTAATGTGAAAATAAAACATTACCACACAGCAGTGAATATTATTCCCAGGAGGATATCTTTACAAACTAGTACAGAAAGAACCAACATCACAAACAGGTTATTGCAGTAAGTAAATAAGTAAGCTATAGAAAAATTAAAAACCTGTTTATTTTTGCTGTGAAGTTAGTTTTGGAGCATGGACGATGAAAAAAGATGGATTTAGCTTCTGCGCTGAAAATATGAAGCCGATTCTGAAGTGACTTAAATCTGCTTTCTATCTCAAGGCCACCAGATGGCGATAGCTGTGGTTAGCCTAGTAGCCCCTTTCCACCAGTACTTATTCAGCTCGGTTCGGCTCTATCTGACTAAGTTTGTAGGGTTTTTGATTAGGTGGTAGTACCTGCACCCCTAAAATTTTTAGTACCAGTTCAGCCGGTATGACACCAACAGACAGCATGCCACCGACTGGCAAGTCACTGCCGTCACTCAATGAGTGAAATGGCAACGAGACAATGGCAACACAAAAATCAGCACCCTGGTCTCAGAGCCTGACAAAAAGCCATACTTAGATATACCATCGCCTCGACATCCTCCGTTTTAGTATTGTGTTCGTGTCACATAGATATGACCTCACAGGGTTTTCGGCCGCGTTGTTATAGCAACCCGATGCACATTAGGTGGCACTCAATTGTAATGGAAAAAGAGAGAAACCCAGTAGAGTTGAGTCAAAGCACGGCGAGTTGCACTATGTACAACTGGAAAACAGCTACATGTGAAAAGGCCTCTGTAAACACTTTCCTGCTGAGTTATGGTCTCACTAACTCAATATGAATTATATTGAATTATAAAATTAAATCTATTTTGTTACTTGTGGTCGCACAATGTTTCAAACTGGAACCTTATCAGTGATATGAAACCGTCGTTATCCAATGAGTGTGTGGTTACACAGTCAGACCCGCTGCTCCCCACCAGCCTTCAAAACCAAAGGGTGATGTCATTATGCTACACATTATCAAGTCACTTTAACCTGTGGGTTATTGATGGGGTCAGTTAAGTAGCAGAGGGGATTGTTAATCAGTTTTAGCTACTTTGGTATTAATGAAATTAACAACTGTGGCACTAGAGGGGTAACAATGAGACAATCCACAAAACAGGAATGCTTTTACAGCTGGAGGCCACGGACATTTTATCTGACTGGATTTACATTATTTTAGCATTTGGCTAAGATCAGTGTCATTGCTGGTAGCACGAGGCGATACCTGACCCTACAGAGGTTGCACAGGTAGTCCACCTCCTGTTGTCCACCTCAGGAGTCCACCTCCACCTCCTCCAGGGTGGCACATCAATATGTGACATTGGCAGAAGGTTTGCCGAGTCTCCCAGCACAGTCTCAAGATCATGGAAGCGATTCAAGGGGACAGGCAGTTACTCTAGGAGAGCTGGACAGGGCCGTAGAAGGTCCGTAATCCAACAGCAGGATCAGTATCTGTTCCTTTGTCCAAGGATGGACAGGATGAGCACTGCCAGAAGTAGAGCCCTACAGAATGACCTCCATCAGGCCAATTGTGTGAATGTGTCTGACCAAACAATATGAAAAATGGGCTTCACGAGGGTGGCATGAGACCCCGACGTCCTCTGGTGGACCTGTGCTCCCTACAGAATTGGCAGGTCCATCACTGGTGCCCTGTACTTTTCACAGATGAGAGTTTGGTGGTGGGTTGATGATGGTCTGTGGATGCTTATCCATGGAGTGCTGCACTGCCCTCTATAGACTAGGCAACAGCACCCTGACTGCCATTAGGTATCTGGATGAAATCCTTGTGCTTGTTGTCAGACCCTACACTGGTGCAGTGGGTCCTAGTGCATGACAATTCCCGGCCTCATGTGGGGAGAGTATGCGGCAGTTCCTGGACCCCACACTCGCCTGACCTAAATCCACCAAAACACCTCCGGGACGTTTTGTTTTGGTCCAACACCACAAAGTTGCTCCTCAGACAGCCCAGGAGCTCATTGATGCCCTGGTCCAGATCTGGGAGGAGATCCCCGAGGACACCATCTGTTGTCTCATTAAGAGCATCCCCGACGCTATCAGCCATGCATACAAGTATGCAGGGACCATACAAACTACCAAGTACCATTTTAAGTTGCTGCAAATTAGTTTTCTGTCAAATGGACAAGCCTGCTGCATTGTTTTTCCACTTTGATTTTCAGGGATCTTTGAATTCAGCCCTCTGTAGGGTCCTGTCACTCCTAACACATTATCCAGTTTGTATCAGTCCAGATATCCAACATATTTTTTTCCTCATTGAGATCTGGTGTATATTGAAAACTTTTTTTTAGCTTTTTATTCATGAGAAAAATGTCATGACAGTAAAACCACAAAGACCTGGCATGATTGGTTCAGACTGAGTTTAACACATTAAACTGTAGTTATTTCACTGTTCACAGCTCGGTTCACCACAGAGCAGCAGTAACATAATAACCCGGAGTAATGGCTACATCCAGCAAGATATTTTTACACGATAGCTAAAATAACCGCACACAGCAGACTGATTGTTCCTCGACATGGCATGAAAACAGTTTGTACACAGAAAGCAGACTGAGTCATTTATAGTTATGTGGTACTACAACATGCAGATGCATCCACTAAAGCTCCACGGCACCTTCATCTGTTCCACAACCAGAATAGCCAGGGTTTCCGCTCTCCAATTACACAACATTACTTCATCTTTTGGCCTCTTTCTATCCCACTCACAAAAAAAATAAAAAATCCCATCTCCATAGCAACAAACTCTCATCCATAGTTCACAAAAATAATTGTTTGCTCCCGCATCAAACAGTTGTTCCGTGGAAGCTGTTAAATTTTGAGAACTTGTGCGTCTGTGCCCACCTTTGGTATATTTAACATAAAAGCCCAAGGCCTCTGACTTTTCTATTTATGTCCTTTGTGTGCTTCTGCCTCTATACGCTGCCGCAGAGGCTGAGGTGGAAGATAGTTGACTGCGCCGGTCCAGACGGTCTTAAAAGCAGGACTGTTCATTATTCACATGTCCTTGGGTTGAGTGGATGCATGTCTGTATTGCTTGTTATTGGTCAGCTCGGCTCTGATGCTATCACATAAAGGCACAGATGCTGGAAAAAAAAGCACTTAAATAAAAAAGATGTCAATGTTTCTCCTGCTTGTTGCCCCAGAAAGACAAAAGAACTTGTCGCCTGGTGATGCGATGACGACACCATGGAAATGTTTACCTGTTACAAAGGTGGTAAAGACCACACTAAGCTAGCTTAGACTTCTGAAATCAGCAAGAGCACATTCGACTAATTTAAGTTTATTAAACCGCAGATATTTAACAGATTTAAATGTCTTTTGTTTATATTTATGTTGCAGTATAGGAATTTCTTTCAACCCACAGGATAGCAGGAATCATGCTGGAAAAAAGGAGAGTAAATTCAGGATTGACCTGATTCTACGCTCCCTCTTATCTCCCTTAAAATGTCAAGTACCTGAATGCGCTGATCAGGCCATGAAAGTACTTATATATATTATGTCCTTGAGTCCCAGAGATTAGAATTTCCATTTCAGGCAGAAAGCCTCTAGAAAAACCAAACATCACATGCTGAGTGAAGAAAACTGGAAAGGTTACTGAGCCTTATCTGCAATTATGCAAAAACAGAGAGATTGGCCAAACCCATGTTCATTGCTACAAAGGGAATCTACAATGCCTTGATGTTGCATTCTCGTCTCGTAGTGCAGATATGTAGCACGCAGCACATCCTAGAGGAGGCTATAGGCAAGAACAGCTGACTGTACACTACTCACACCTAGTCATGTTTTGAATTATGAACACAGGCAATTAAACTTTAAATCCCCCCTTAGTAAGAAGATAGAGCCGACTAATTAAGTAAGTCCTTTTTAAATTTGGTTTTAATTCAGAGCTCCTCGAATGCCAAGCCGGCGTAGAGGATCAGATCAAAACAAGCTTGGTTTACTTTCATTCAAAGCTTTGCATTTTTGTTTGTGTTACATTCAAGTACTTAGTTTATTCCAGCATTAGAAGGGAACAAAACAACAAATCTGAAAATCTTCACTCTGTCTGACTTTCTTCTATCAGCAGCACTGACATGGAGCTTCTCAGATGTTGACAACTCCACTTCTGGACTCATTGTGTCATCTGTTCTCCGTCTCTCTTTTTTTTTCCCAAAGGAAGAAAGACAAGAAACAAAGCTTTGCTACAAAGGTCACTCGGAAAAACCTGCTTCTTTCTCTCATTTATTTATTTTTTTCCAACAAACACCGGGGGAATAAAAATAGTTTGGTTTAAAAATAATGGCTTTCATCTTCATTTATGCCTCTGAATATTCAATATGAGAGCAATGGTGCCCCCTTGTGTAAAATATAATTAACAGTCTGATAGTAAATATGCACCTAAGGTCAATTATAATTGAATCTGATAGCACAGCTTAGAAACGAACAGTGTTATTTAACCGTGAAAGAGTGTGATCACCTTTACAGCAGCTTCTGAGGTCCAGCATGTGTTTTGAACATTTTTTATTCCACATTCATACAATTCCTTCTGCAGTAAACCTGTATTGATTCTCTCAGAGGTGAAGGGCGCTCCCTCTGTCCGTCTTTAGCCTCTCCTGCTCTTCACAAGGACTGCAGCTCTATCCTCCGCTGTCAGAGCTCTGTGCACTCTGCACCGCTCGCGGCTCAGTCAGGCGGTCGTAGGACAGCGCTGTCATAACCTGTGAAAATGTACAGTGTGATATGGCTTTGGAGAATAGAGAGAACCAAGTAATAAGTAGAGGCTATCAAAGACATGCTGAGTTAAAGATTTTACTGGCTAGAACAGCCTGTGGCTACTGTTTTTCACACTGGATTAGTGAAAAAAAATTTTTTTAAGCAGTAGCTTCGGCTAGTTTCAAACAGGGAAGGTAGATGAAGGACAGAAAACGGAGCTCTTTCTCTCTGCTGACATTAAAATTAAAATAACCATTAAAGATTTTGTAAGCGTTAAATGATCAGTCTGAAGCCACACTCGTGTCTATGCTAAATGTGAAGCTACAGCTAACCACACAGCTTAACTTAGTTTAGCATGCAGAATAAACAGAAATTCAAAAGAACAATTTGGAATTTAATCACCAAATTCCTTTTTTTAAAACAACAGTAGAATGTAACATGTTATATTCCAGTGAGCTTTCCCACCTGCTAGTTTGTAGCGTCTGTTTTCAGTCTTAACGCTATGTGAAGCTAAAGTAAGCTATCCTTTAGCAGAAGGCGATTTTCTTAAAGCCATACACAGTCAGTCTGCCTAATGACCAAGACTATATTAGAGAGACACGTGCACTACCCAGACAATCACGAAATGAACTATGGGATAATCCAAAGCACAGATGGCTGTATTAAATATAAGTTTAAAGGGGAGAAAGGCATTTTAAACCCTATTTTGAGCTTTTAACAGATTATGGAGTATATATATAATCTAGGGAAAACTAAAAGGAACATTTTTGGTTCAGTCGCACTATAGCAAAAATTGAGCAACAACCTTCTTGCAACTAGGAAAAATTGGTGATTGCAGGGTTTATGCACTGATGTTGTTTGTTGTGTTTTGTCTTTCTCCCCTCTCACCCTCAATCGGTCGTGGCAGATGGCCACCCTTCACTAAGCCCGTTTCTGCCAGAGGTTTCTTCCTGTTAAAAGGGAATTTTTCCTTCCCACTGTGACCAAAGCACTTGCTCATAAGGGGTCATCTGATTGTTGGATTTTTTTTTTTTCTGTATTCTATGTATTATTTTAGGACCTTTACTTAGGGCTTAAAATCTGGGACTGTCCACCAATTGCTCTTAGAACTGAAGAAGCTTCTCAGAGGAGAGATGAAACGTCTTCAAGAAACCTAAAGAAGTCCAGACGCTTTTCTTTTAAACCTCCTTAGACTATGATGACCTGGATGACTGAGAACCTTCACAGACATAGGTCTTAGCCTTACAATCCGGTTGTTCAGTGATGACGCGACGAATCCTACTTCCGGGTCTAAAGTAGTCTGCGTTTAATTTGGCTTTTGTGTTGTTAACATGTTTAATGTTTTGTATTTTCTTCTATTTGATCTCAAAAAGCTCCTAAAACAGTCAGTGATCACTGCTGACCTCCCTCGGCTTTTATTACCGCTAATCATTTATTTAAGCTCAGTTTTTAAAACCTTAGGATGTAACTACAGCCCAGCCCATGCAGCAGTATATGAATGACTAACCTCGTATTGTGGATGGATTATCTCAGTTGTTCTCCTGGCTGAAGTTTGGTCCTTTTACAGCATCCTGCCATGCGATTACATTTGTTCCTGACCACCGAGAACACTCACGTTAACTTTTATCGAGTGGAAAAAAAAGTTAGCTTGTTTATATTATGCTAACATAGCTGTGTCGCTAGCGGTCACGTAGCACATCATTATATACCAGCTAGCCAAACTTCAGTAACCCTACAAACGTCACTGCTGTTTAGTTTTCTGTCTTCATTTATGCTGGAAGTGATAACAGAGCTGTACGTTTTAATTTGTTTCCAAAACCCCGCAGTCAGGACATGCTATATTGTATTTAGATAGAAGCTAGCGAGCTAACTCCCTGCTAACTTCTAACTCCGTTAAATGTCATAAATTCCGTTTTCATGGATGCCTGGATGTTAAACTCAATTGTTACACCTGGTAGAGCAGAACGCTGATCATTTTATTAAAGATGAAAGACTTTAGACAGTTTTTCAACTCTCAGTAATGCCATAGTGATGTTTGATATATGGACCTGCAGCGGAGTTTAGACCCAGACACGGCTAGTGACGTCAGACTGAACAACCGGATAAAAAGTGCATGGAGGCAACTGTTGTTGTGATTTGGTGCTATATAAAAAGAATTGAGCTGAACAGAAAAGTTTGTGGCGCGCACTTTTAATACTAAGGCAACTGCACAGGTGGATGATCATGGTCCCCCTCAGACTGACTGCAATCACTCTCAGATACCTTGTAGAGGTTGCCAGCTCACTGCAATCAATCAATTATTCTGCACCAAAGAGTGCAACCTGTCTGCAATAGGTCTCCTTGCAACAGGGGACTTGACTCAAGTGATTGCAAAACAAAATTAATTCTCTATTTAAGCAAGCTTGCTGAACGCTTATGTCATTTTGCAGTTAAATCGCTGTCCTGCAGCAGCTACATCACTACTTCTGGAGGAATTTCAGGTCTGGATCTATGACGTAAACGCTACAAGCTATAGCTTAGCTTAGCTTAGCACTCTATAAAGAATAAAAATTTGAACAACACAAAACTTTCCAGTTTCTCTTTTGTATCGGTTAAATAACTGTATATGGCATGTCTTATCCCGTTGGTTTATCAGTGATAGTAGATATGTGTTAGTACCACATAATAGATTACATGCTAAGCCAAGCTAAGCTAAACACCTGACAGAACACAGCCACATAGCCAGTCTGTGTAACACTACACTATTACTGAGCGCCTTGTTCTACTTACTGTGATCATAAGAAGTAGTGCCAGCATCATGCCCAACATTATGTACAAATTATTAGTCAATCCTCCAGCCCACAAGGGACCCAAGATTGTGGCCAGGCCCCCAACTGAGCGTCTGACACCTTGGCTGAATCCTTTTGGTGAGGGATCACAAAATATTAGGTTATTTATTTCAGATATAAACATAACAATATGGCTTTAAAGTTCGCTACGTGTAATTTTTTTTTTCCTATGCATCACATGCGCTGAGCAACAATCTGTTGTTTTAATGTGTTGAGCCAGCACACGGTGCCAAGGTAATATGAGCCAACCTTGTGTTTTCTCAGCAGTGACTTTGGAGAAGAGAGACACCTGAGACACGGCCACAAAGGGAAGCCCCAGCAGCTGCAGAAACACTCCGATGATGAAGGCCGACAGCTCCCATCCATAACCACCTGGCAGGGGTGGGAAGATGATATCACAGGATCGCTAAATTAAAGTAGTTTATCACAGAGTAAATGGAATACATAATTCAGCAATTACCTTTAGCGCAATCCAACATAAACCCTCGCATACCTATATTTGATAGACCTAGTGGCCAATAAATATGACAGTTCTGAAGCTTCTTATTTCTCATGTGGAGTCATGATCATTCAAAGAGTGTGGCAGATCATGCTTCGGTTGCCCAGCTCGTCCGTCCGTCAGTTTTTAAGTTTCTCCCACAAATGGGCTGGCAACACTAGAGACGGCTCAATCCGAAAAACGAAACCCCTGCCAAGCTGGCAACCACTCGATTTTTGTTCTCTGCTGCTTTGCATCATGCACATGCCTGTATGAATTTGTGCCGACTCTAATTGTTGGAAGTTCTTGCATGAGCTGAAAGTCTATCATTTTACGATCAAATTACAGTTTCACCAATCAAACATGCCTCTCGGTGGCCCCAAAGGATAAAATAGTTTTTCTTTAGGTGTCTTTCTTTCGGGTTTTATGTCTTTGTTCGGTTGCTTTAACCACAACGGTTAACAAATGGCAAACAAATGACAGCCACGCTTTAACAAATAGCATTTTTGCTAAATTTGATTACTCTAATCCTTTTATATGTACTCAGGCACTACCCAGCTCCAGCACCTGTCACTTGTAATCAGAGCGATAAACGTGACGAGCTGCAACAGACGCAGGCCAACATTAACATACAGGATCCGGTTTGCCTCTATGGTATCCTGCTGAATGATATCATTTACAGAGCACACTCAGTTCAGCCAGTGTGTAACCCAATATGGCTCTGCTGTGCTCTACACACCGACACTGGTGGCACAGAAAGGATTTGGCTCAGAAAAAGAGGCATTTTTGTGTCTGTGTGTGCCTGCATTTGTGTGTGTGTGTGTGTCTGTGGGTGTGGTTTTTCACAGGCAGGTTAGCACCTCGGGGGTTGCAGAGGAAGATGAGGCACCAGATACAGGCGGTGCAGCAGATGACCAGGCCCGCTGCCAGCACGGCGCGGTCCGCCACCTTCCTGCTCAGCCAGCGTACAAAGAAGAAGCCCAGGATGACCTCCACCCCGCACAGGCTGTACATGAGGCTGTTGCCCAGCTCACCAAAGTTGAAGTGGCGCTGCGTAAGAGGGGTCACCATGGTCTGTGAATTTTTAGAAAGACACCAGTCATTTAGGCAAAGCGGTCCATTCAGAGGTAAAGAAAGGTAACCAGAGTATCCAGTTAGGTCAGTTTAATGAGAGGTGAGAATGGATCTTTACACAGAGGCTGATTATGTGCTTCAGCATTTAACTGATTATTTTCCCAAAAGTTTAGATCTTAGAAAACTCCATGTTATTCACTCTGGATGGTAAACAGTATGACATAGTGTGAAATGTTTGGAATCGCTGCCTGATGGATCTCGATGGTCGCTGCTCTCACCTCCAGCGCCGTCTGATTGAAGAGAGTGATGAACTGAGCCGTGAGGACAACAACTACCTCTTCTCTCAGGAACTCTGCGCAGAGAAGGACAGAGAGAGAGATACCAGAAGAAATAAAATAGGGAAGTCAGGGAGAAAAATCCCCAAAAATCTTCAACTGCTAGCTTCAAATTGAAAGTTTCAACTGGCAAGTTAATTCGAGATCAAGAAGTTTTAAGAGAAAAGAAAAGTTGGACGATCTCAAAGCGGTTGTAAGATAGAAGGAGGCGTGACAAATCCTGGCCGCCTGGTCGTGTTGATCATGTCGTCCAAGACGCTCTATATCTATTTCTTTTGATGGAGAGAAGTATGGATTCTGATATTTATCTTATATCCAAAACATGATTACACAGGAAAAAAGGGGGGGGGAAGCTTTCAATAAATTCCAAATTTTGATACCAGCTTTTCCTGGAACAAATTCCTCCTTATGGGCTTGGAGAGGAGGAAAACGAGCTGGGCTTGCTGCTAAATTTGGATGCCAGATGGCTGGAGAATCGGCTTGATATTACACTGTGTGATCCACTACAGTTCAGTTCTCTGTGTTCAGCGTTTGCACTGCTATTGACATGGTTTGATTATTTTATGTCACTGGATGTGTATGTGTGCAGGTAAATACCTGATGTGGCTTTAAAATGATTTATTGTACCTCAGAAAGTTCTGAGACAGATTTTTTTCCCCAAGATTTCCCAGCTTTTATTCCAAAGTCTGAGTCTACAGACTGATTATTAGAATCAAAAATGCTTAATAATGGACAAAAAAAGTTACAAAGTGGTTGCTAGGGTTGCCAGGTCTTTGGTATTAAAGCAAAGGGCAACCACTGGAGCTGAAAATTGCCTTGCTCTAAAAGAAGGTCAATCCTAATGTTAAAATATCCAGACAGTAGAAAGCATCGTTAAAGAACGAAAAATAGTTTGTGCATTTTTTCACATATTACAAAATCTCTGAGCAGAGAGGGGTTTTTTAAGGACTCTGGATACTAGAAGCTGGGGGCGCGGCCAATTTGACCAACAGGCATCCAGACACAAGCAACTGTAAGCAGTTTGGGTCTTCTAGGTATCACCTCTGCTAATTCAAGCCACTGAGCTGGATCTTACCTCCATGCTTGTGCTGTTGGTGCCTTTTATGACAATTTTAATTGGCTAATATGATGTGTTTCTGCGTGGTACGAACTCTCCCAGAAGTTTGTGTTTCTGGTTTGGTGAGTGAAAGTCTAATATTTGATTATTATCTTTGTTAACACTAATTAGCTGATTTGTTTGTCTGTTCATTGATCCTATGAAGTTTATGGAAGCAGACTGGTAACCAAACCTGCTAGAGTGAGCTGAAAACCTGATTCTTCATCCAAACATCAACTCTGTCTTCAAACACCCCCCCCCCCCCCCCCCCCCAAAAAAAAAATGGTGACAGCAAAAACATCAAAGCATCAATTCAAACGGCAAACGACTCGGAAACTAGTTTTTATCCCATCTATGGATAAAAGCAGCTCAGCGGCCAATCCAAATTAGCCCAAGATTTATTTATACTTTTTAAAAAAATCCAGGTGGCCACTTTGATGCTTTTCCTTTGGACCTTAAAGACATGCTCTTGCTCAGCTGATACATTTTACATTTGATGCTGCACAGAAAATAAGTAATAAAAAGATCTATGAGGAAAATGCTTTGACCTAAAGATGGTTTTCTGGTGATGCCACAAGTAGACAAAGCAAAACAGCAAGTTCCACCGTTTTATTCATTGTATAGCTTAGCTTAGGAAAGAGACTAGCTAGCATGGCATTAAAATTAGCTTACCATTACTTCTAAACATTTCATCACTCGTGAGAGGAGGGGTACAACCTGAAAAGATCAACCCAAAATTCAACCCTAAAACTAATCATACTTTCTTGATCTAACTGGAAAAACTAAGAAGCTATATAGCCTAGAACTGTTTTAAACCACATATTGACTTCATTGATATCATTGTTGTTAGTTATCCAGGAAGACATTTACTAGCAGAGGATCTAGCACAGAGTAAAACCTGCATTTCTTTTATTTCTATATTTTTATACATGTTAAACAAATGAAGACATTCACTCCTGCATCTGGACTTTTTGCTCAGTATGAAAGTGGAATCTAACTCTTGATTACAAAATATCTCTTAAGTATGTTTCAGATAATACATCTTTGAATGTTTCAGTCTTTTCAAGGGAGAAGAACTAGAGCGTGAAACAGAGCAGGCTACAAACCCGCAGTGCCGTGTAAGCATGTGTAAAATCTGATCCAGTTCAGATACAATACAAGTACATGGACTAAAAAAGGCAGTTGTGTAGTTTTCCTTGTTCCAAAAGCAAAGATTCACAGAGATTTTACTGGTGCTGTTATGTACTTTTTTCTTTCCACGACACCTACCAGAAAAATCAAGATTTGATGAAAGAAAGTGAAAGATCTGCCCCGATTTTCAAAGCTTCTCCACTGATACACAAAAAGTCAGAAAGATCAATAATTCAAGAGAGCGAATACCAGACACGCTGTAAGGGCTAACAGACACTCCTACTGCATGTGCCAGAGAAAACATCCTCCGCTCCTGCTGCGTTTCTGGTGTTGTAGCTTCTCTTCGTACAAAAAGGAATCAATAAGAGGAATGTTGGCCACATTACCAATTCTGTCTCCATTTCATCCACAAGTCAACCACAGCAAGTCAGTCAATAAAAAAGGAAGTCTTCCATCCTTCCCTCTGCCACGTCTTCAAAGAGTGAGAGAATCAATACAGCACATACACACAAACACACGCACTCGCAGTTGTGTCTTTAGAGGACACAACACCGACTCGCATTTCCTGGAGAGTTACTTCAGTCTTAAACACAACTCTGACCCCAACACTCACCTCGACCGTAAGCTTTAAACACGTCTGCAGCTTAAATTTAACGACGTCCCCCAAAAGAAAAATAAATCCCCAGAATGTGAGTGCGTAAATCTACGATCAAAGCTTTAGGTCCTCACAACATGGTTAAGACAAATGAGTAAGTACTCAACCCACTCACTCCCAAGACACACACACAGTCAAAGAAAGTACAGAAAGGATATTGAGTAGTGGCAAACAATCGCAATCGCCATGTAAACGTACTATGACACTAATCCAATAGTGCACCTGACATCATGTATATACATGCTCTGACATAAACCAGACATGTACACGCAAGTCCAATCAATACACCGGGAATCTGATCTGACATGCTGCAGAAAATTCCTCAGAGAGACCTGGAGAATGGAAAGTGTGTGCGAGACTGAGTGAGCAAATACAAGCAAAATCAATAGAGCAGATATGAAACATGTGCATTGGCAGTGACACCTCTTCCTACCTGAACGCTGCAAAATGGGGCAGAGGAAAGCTGACTGTAATTGCTCGAGACAGGCAGTCAAACCTGCCGGCTCACCTCTGCTGGCGCTGAAGTTTCGGAAGGGGTCCGAAGCTCTGTGGACGGGTTGCATGTCAGACGAGGTGGAGGTCTCCAGTTGGTCGGAGTTGAGGGCTCTGTAGGTGTGCACCGGCTCCTCGTCAGACCCCATCAGCGGCACCTCTTCCTCTACCTCCTCCTGTTTCATCTCCATCATCGTGGCTCCCCCCTCGCAGCTAACGGGTGGTACATCCCAGTACATAGCCAGGACGACAAACTGGAGCAGCACCCACAACAGGCACATGAAGATCTGACAGCATGGAGGAAAAACCCACATGTCTTCAAAGATCTTACAGTTTAAACACACAAAAAAAGATATTTTCACAGGACCAGAATCCCTGGAAGCTTTCAGGAGAGATAAAGTGGTTCAGCTATGGAAGCGCTGCCTGGCAGAGTGAACTCTAGAGAGGGATTCTGGGTCATATTATGCGGAAAAAAATGGAAGCAGGCATATAAGAGCTTTGTTAAGTCTCATTTAAGCTTCATCCACGCTACAGGTGTTTTATTGAGGCACACTTAGATAGAAACAGATCGATACAGGTTGTTACGGGACCGAGTACCGCTGCAGGTGTTTTGTATTCCTCTTACTCACAGGAGAACAAAGGAGGAAAAATATATATGTGAGCACAGAATGTAGAGCGACTATTTCTGAAGGTTATTTCTGTATTCATGAGCCTTTCACAGAACCTTAGATTACTGATTATCTGGATGCTGTTACCCCAGGAGACGTATACTTGTTCACAACAAAGGGCCCCAGTTTGAAATCACACAGCCGCAGGAACAGGTTGAACGCCGGCCCTGTAGAGACAGGAGGAAGTGCTTTAAAGATGAGATAAATGGAAGATGTGTGGAAACAGTAGCCTGCTCCTTAGTGATTTTATTGAATGTTTTTTTTCTGCTCACAGTTTAAATGAAACATCAAAAAAGAAAAAAGGGAAAAAAAAGGATCACAAATCTATCCCGCTGTCTGATATTTCCTCACAGGGCAGAAGGGGTGGTGAGAGGTGAAATAACACCTATTTCTCTGTGGATAAGTGGAAAGGGTAGAAACTGACCGACAAGAAGACCGGCTTGTCGACCAGCCATGATGGCAGCAAATATTCCAGCTCGCTCCTCCGGCTGAGTGCTCCGAGTCAAAAAGCCAAAGATGGAGGACCCAGCTCCTGCTCCGACACCTTAGGGCAAACATATCAAACTATGATATATTACATGCATTGAGTGTTAACCGTTTTACGTAATGCATGCGTGCATGTGTGTGCATTTGTCACCTGCTACAATCCGACTGCATAACAAAAGCCACTTTGAGTATCCAATGAAATACATAAAGTTACCTGAGAGGAAATAAAAAAAATAAAAAAATGTTGTGAAATGCATCTTCATCTGAGGCAAGATCTTTGTTTAAATGTTTCCAAAAAAGTACTGGCTTCACACTGTAACAATTCCATTAACTTCTATACTATTCTATACTTTGGCTAGTTGGCTAATGTTAGCATGCTAACATTAGCCAACCAATGACTGTATAAAAAAGAGATTTCTTTTACTAAAAAGGTCGACAGTCATTGATTCCAACACATTTGGTGACAATAGAAAAACACTGTATCTAGTAAAGTGCACATTAACAATAATAGACGATCATGTGGTACTGCTAATGTTTTAGTTAGTTGATTTTAGCTGATAGTAGCTAGGTTTTAGCTAGTATTTACTAATATTTAGCCACTATTTAGAATATACTGTTAGTCTAATAGCATTCAGGTGATTTTGTTGTTTGGTTGACAACATAAATTTCTTTACAATGACTCACATCATCCCTATAATGCTTTGCTTAAAGAACAAATTCATAGTTCTTTTAGAAATTCCCATAATCCATTGTGTGCATCCTATAGATAAAAATTTGAATCGCAGAGGCAGCTAGAGCGTTCTCATTCTGAAGCCTGTAGCTGGCTATTTTTGTAAGTGCCCTTTTAGCACCAGTCACACAAGCCTAGAGACTAGTCAGTGGCTATCTGGTAACCGTGGTCCCTATGGAAACATGTGCATCCACTAACAGATTAGCCAGTGGCTGCAGGAGGTTAAAGGTCCACTGTTAATAGCCCAGATACACAGGCCTAGAAACTAGTCAGTCACTCCCTAGCAACCCTCCAACCACGGCTGCTTGGAGAGTGGTTGCTAGAGGTTGGCACGCACTAGCATGAAATTGGTCACAAAGCGGTATGGAGGTATACCGTGCGCTACCATGAACCTCCTTGCAGTTGCTTTGGTCTCTAGCAAATTGCCGGTGTCACCAGTAGTTTGCATGGAAGACATGTGAACCTTCTGTTTCAAGTCTTATTTTAGTTTTACAACAGCAAACTATGGGGCAACTGCAGCAATCTGCTATCAACAAAAGCAATCACAAGGACGTTGTTGGTACAGTACCCTCTTTGTGACTGATTTCACCTAGTAACCTCCAGCAAACACTGACCAACACAACCCAGCGGGTGGTTGCCATGCGGTTGCCAGCCAGTATAGGTCTACATAACTGAAGCCTTTTTTTTTTCTTTTTATGAAACCACACGTGATGAAGTGTGACTGACAATCACATGGCAGTAAATGGCCAAACACAATTTAGCAAGCACTTCCTTGCTGTGTCTTTTACTCTAAATGAGACTCAGAACAGAATCAATATTTTGGGAAGGGACCAGTAGGGTGATTTCCTCTTTGACTTTTCTACAATCAGACTTCTTTTTGCAACTGCAGAAGCCACCCTCTGCTGGCCATTAGAAAGAAAGCAGGTTTAAATCAATTCTGCGCCTCTTTCACTATTCACTTGACTTTCTTCCTCCCGGAGGCTACGTTCAAAGAGAAATTTAGATTGCATTCAGATGAAAGGAATGACCTGATATCAGATTTTTTGTAAGCTCGGTCATCTATAAGGAATTCTCTGTGTTGCATGAGGTGAAAATAAATGCGTAAAAGATGACCCACAGAGTCTCTTCATACAGAAGCGTGACGCAGAGTCTAAATTAGTCATGTGATGTCTCGTGGCTTGACTACTTACCAACAATCTCGAAAACATTTGAGAAAAGGACAATGGACTTTGTAGTTTTGCTTCGATCTGACCAGATGCCAAATAGCGGGCCCGTGACCAGTGCACTCAAGCTGAAGGCAGACAGACCGAGACCCAGGAAGTAAGGTGGGGCCTCCAAAATCTGTAGATACCTCCATATTGTAGGAAGAATGACAGCTGAGGCCACCACAGAGGAACAACAGAGAAGGGTTGAGACGTGTGCATTAATATGCCAAAAACAACCCTGAAATGATATCCAGTTCGATATGAACTTACCGTACTCTATGCCACTCAGCATGAATATCAGTCCAATGGTGAGAAAAGTAAGATTCCTCTTTTGGTGATTATCCATTGTCCTCACTGACTTGCTTCTTTTTACATGCCAACCTCTATCTGCGCATGCTGCTCTGAAACATTCTTCAGAGCCATAATCAGATAACAAGAGACACCATGCATCCTATTACAGCTGCCGGCCCAGATAATCAGAGGAATCTGTTGCAGCGCTTTACAAGGTCACAGCAAAACTTCTTAGAGATGGACAACAAAGACGATGGGAGGCTTTTCTTACAGAAAAAGCTCAGGACGAACAAAGCCTGGACTACGTCACAGCAAACATGGAAACAATACAAACAAATATGAAATGATTGCAGTAGTCCAATTCCATTGGGCATTTATGTTAAAGATGAAATTCTGTTTGACTCCAGTCCTCGGTGTAGCACCACGCTGCGAGATCGAGGCAAGTTCTCAGGTTGCCCGGTGAGGTAAAGTACCCTGAGGTTTATACATATTTAAACTTGTTTGCTTCAGTTTCATCAAAAGCACCTCACAACCTTGTGAAAAAATGTGCAAGGCCTATCTGCCCCTTTTGGTTACACAGTAATATGCAAAAGTCTTGAGACACTCCTCATTTCTTTATACTTTTCTTCCAAGGAGGCAGACTAAAGAAGAACATCCAAACATCTCCAGGCCTTCTGAAGGAGTTTCAGAGTTTTTCTTGGAACTGACCGTTTTCATAGTAAATCTTTTTTTTTTTGTTGCTTTGTTTTGTTTTTTTTCTGTTAAGCCACTTAACACTGACCCATGAATCATTCAAGCATAATAAAAGCTCCTACACATAACAGAGAATAGGACAAATTGTATCTTTAAGGCACTTTGTTACTTGAAGCCTGTTGCAAAAACACATCTTCTGTTCAATTTCTGTAGTTAAATCTATGAAAAATGCCAATGATAACATAAAATAGTAGTTTTGGCGCAGTAATGTGATTCCCAAAGAGCTATTAGCTGAAAACTCGGCATATCCCGGCATGGTGTGCAGCTTGTCCTTAAGAATTTTAGGAAACTGCTGAAGAAATCCAGCAAAGACTTGACACAGGACCTGACAGATGCATCTGGTGCTTAAGTTGATCCATCTACTGTTCACTGAAGCCTAATGAGAAATGATCTCATTGAAAGGAAGAAGCCAAAGGAAGAGAAACAGGGACAAAAGGCTGAGGTTATCATGTAATGCCAGATTATACAATAACTAGACTAAAAATGAGGAGCAACAGATGGAGTGGTGAATCCAAATATGAAATACTTGGTTCAAATATGTACAGAGGTCAGGAAAGAGGTACAACATAGAGTGTGTACAACATGGTGGAAGCTCTATCATGGTTTTGGGCTCCATTTCGGTCAGTGGTGTTGGAGATCTTGTCCAAATTGATGAACACAGAAAAGCACCATCAAATTTGGATCCATCATGTAGTACAATCTGGAAAGCTTCTGATAATGTTTTAGCATGACAATGATCCCAAACACACTGCCAATGCAGTAAACACACAGTGAAACACTACCAGTCATGAATTGGCCTCCCCAGAGCTTGGACCTCAACAAGCAGTGTGGGATGGTGTTGACAAAGAACAGAAGAAAAAAGGCAGCAAACATCCAAAGAAGAGCTTTAAATGTTCTTCAAGAAGCTTGAAGAACTATTCCTGAAGACTACTTAGCCTGAACTCTCTTAGACAGAGAGTTCAGGCTAAGTAGAAGAATAAAGTCACACCAATTATTGCCGTTCATGTTTGTTAGAATTGTACAAACTCTGTTTTTGCCTCACATACTGTGTGTTTCCATGCATGTTTGCACATGCTTCAATAAATCCCTGCACCTGTTTCCTATTTCTATAGCACAATATAAAGAAATAAGGGGTGGTTTGAGTCTTTTGCACAGGTCTTTAAATAGGAATTGTGCTTTTTACAAGCATGGGGCTAAATTTAGCTGTTCAAAAACACAATAAATCACACAGTGATAAAACAAAAAATAATGAAATACATCAGATAAACAAGGACTATATCTTATGGAGCTTTAACAGCAGAGCGGGCAACGGAGGAAACTATTCAGCTTAACGCTGCAATGTATTCAATACTGAATAAATTAGGTATGACACTGCTGTCTGTTGTGTTGAGCTGTAGCTCCTTTTTTCAAGCTGCTGTGGTGTTCCTAGCCTTGGGCTCGCTGTATTAAACAGAACTGTCACCAAGTTAATACCGCCATATGTTTTTCAGCAACCCATGAATAATACAAAACATTTGATTGTTTGAATAGCAGATATAAACTCGCTCAGCATCATGTGCTCATGCCAAATAACGTCCAGACAATCTGAGAGGTTTCGAGCTCACCAGGCCCCTGCAGTGATGAAAAGTCGCAGGACTCATGTATTTGGGTAGGAATCTACTATATATGTATGCGTGCATTTTTTGGCCATAGTGTTGACCTTTCTGTAATTTTTTTGATGAAAAATGATTTCATAGAGCATGTGTACTCACCAGTGTAGCGTCACTGCGTGTGTTTCATTCTGTGGAAACGGTAATCAAGGAGGGATTCATCCGGCTCGGCTTTTCCGTGACAAACGGCTGCTGCTGAGTGTCACAGGCCCGCTGAGAGGCCATTAGCATCCTACCTGCCTTACCTGTGGTGGTTTCTATAGAAACACATATGAGGGTGGAAGGTGTTTTTGCACTCACCTTTGAGCCTTGGTAAACAACAGGAAGTTCCCCGGTGACTAAACTGATATCGAGTCCACTCAGCCAGTCACAGCAGTGCCCCGGAGCCTGTTGGAGATATGAAATGATCAGCTGCTGGCAGAAGGACATTTGACTTTCAGATAGAGAGGAGCTTGTTAGGTGGATATACTGTACAGGAGGTAGCTCAGATAGGAGTGGGCATGTGGTTGAACACAGATTCTCCCCGGAGGTCATCCAGCATCCCCATTAACATTAACCTGCACGGTGCTCGCAGGCGGCAGACACGGTAAGAGCCGGCAATCGACTGGGCCAGGCAGCAACACTTTTGGGTTCATTATGAAGGAAAAGCACGGCTGAATTTAAACAGAGCTTCACATTATACACGCTATAGGTGCTCACTGGGTATGTATAAAAACCAGTTTGTGGTGACATCAGTCAGTTCATACTGCATTCCACTGATTGGGCATATGATTACTACTATAAGCCTGGAAAATGTACATCTTCTGTTTGTAAAGTTGAAAAAAAAGCCTATATTTTGTATCCTGTCCTGCCTCCAACAGGTTACAAAACCAGTAAGTTTCATGACATCCTGCTGGTCTGTTAATGGTGTCGGTTAAAAAGAAATATTGTATAAATATACAAACAACTGCAGCAGTCTGTAACAGATATGCACTGTTGTAAACAAAGGACTAGTCAAGATTTTAGAAAAAATGATTCAACATATATGCATGTGTGAGATTACAGCACATGCACAGCACAGAGTATTTCTAAATGTATGGCTTGAAGGGGAATGATATATCAGAAATAACCTGTATACACTCACCAGCCACTTGCTACACGTTGCTAGTACCAGATCAGCCCCACTTTTGTCTTCTTTCGTTTTAATTCCTCATGGCACAGATTCAACAAGGTGCAGGAAGCATTCCTCAGAGATTTTAGTTCATCGCACAGTTTGTCAGCTGCACATCCATGATGAGAATCTCCCATTCCACTGCATCCCAAAGGTGCACTGCAATGTTCAAGAAACCAGTTTGAGCTGATTTGAGTTTTCTGACACGGTGCATTATCCTGCTAGAAGGAGCCATCAGAAGACGGGGACACTGTGGGCATAAAGGGATGGATGTGGTCAGTAGCAAAACTGTGTTAACAAAATATCCCATGAAGCTGAACTGTTGACACAAGGCAGGCTAGATCCATGCTTTTGTGTTATTTATACCAAATTCTGATCCAACCATCTAAATGTTGCAGCAAAAATCAAGTCTTATCAGACCAGGCAACATTTTCCCAGTCTTCTGTTTTCCCATTGTAATGTAGCCTCAGTTTCCTGCTCTTAGATGACAGGAGCAGCACCCAGTGTTGTCTTCTGCTGTTGCTGTAACAAATCTGCGTCAAGATTCAACCTGTCCTGATCTTCTGCTTACATTTGGTGTAACGAGTGGTTATTTGAGATACTGTTGTTTTTCATCTCACAGCAGTCTGGCTAGCCTATGTTTATATGGCTAGATGCATTGCTTGCTGCTGTGTGATAGGCATGAACAAGCAGCGAACAGGTGCAGCTAACAAACTGCCGATTAAAGGAAATACTAAGGCCCACATTATTAACACAGGACTAATTAAAATGATTCCTCCAGCTTGACCTCTAATCACTGATTTATTGTTTATGGGCAGTGTTTTTTTCTTACAGTGTTCATGTCTAGCTAAATAAGCTAGTTCCTAAACTAATGACCTTCCCATGAGCCTCTGCTGCGCTTCCTGTTTATTGCTAATTAGCAAGTGGTACAATGGCATGCTACCATGCTAAGTGGCGTTTAGCTCGAACCACCCGTATTTTCAAACAGAGCTGCTAGCATGGTTCATTTTTTGAAGTTTTGATCACATTTTGTTGTATTTCATTTCATTTTTATCACTTACATTACTTTAACTACATTTTGTATGTAAGTCATTTATTGTTTTAAAGAGTGTAAAATTAACCAAACGTGAAATCATTTAAGTTTGAATCACTTCTGAATTAAATCCCTGTATGTGTGTGTGTCTGTGTGTGTGAGGCCCGGGGAATTCTGCCACACTATGGTGGCTCAGGACCGCGATCGAAGCCGAGGAGCTGATGGGCACGGAGAGCAGGGGATTCGGACACAGGTGCCAGGTGCAAGCGTCGGGGAGGACCGCGCCATCCTGCTGGGCTGCACCATGATGGCCTTCTCTGTGTTCATGTTCTTTGTAGTCGGCATCACAATGATCAAACCCTTTGTTAACAGGTACACTGGGGAGTGTTGTCTCGTTTCCAGGCTCAGTTAAAAATGCATCCCCTCACTGAAGGCTTGTTCTCCCCGTGTCTGTGCGTCCAAAGACGTGTGTGTTAAGAGTGAATGCGAGTGTGAGTGGTTGCCTGTCTCTCTGCGTGTTAGTCCTGAGATAGAGTGGTGACCTGCCTCTTGCCCTGTGACAGCTGGTGTATATTTTTCCTTCTGCTGAGCTTTCTTAATCATTTTGAACGATTTCTCCGCAACAAACTGATAAAAGGCACTTAAAAACACATGACATGTGATTGTTGTTGCACCCTATTCTCCTGCAATAGCTTTTACAAGTTTTATTGGCATTCACCATCAGTTGTGTCACATAATCTCCTGTTAGAATAACAAAGCCGGTATAACAGGAATCACTGATGATGCTTATGCTCTGTATTCCTGCATGGGATTTTTATTCCAGTAGTTTTTCTTGCCTGTCTGAGAGTTCCCAGAAGAATTCAGCACAACAATGGACAATGACCGACAGACCAATGACAGACGATGCTGAGCAAGTCTAAAGTTTCCATGTTCAGGATCTTAATTTAGCTGTTAACATGCTAAATATTGGCTAACTGCACTAAACCACACAGACGAAGTAAGAAATTATAAAAACTTGGGCAGGAACCCTGCTCCTGTGGAAAAGTTGATGGGTCAGTCTATCCCACACTAATTTTGCAACTACAAATTGCAGTAGCAATCCTTTTATGCAGCTGTTTTAATTAGTGCCATTGAGGTGTGCATGTGAATTATGTAAGTCTGAAGGCTTCTCTGAAGCTTCCCTGCTGGTTGTCTTCCAGTGGCTGGGATGATGGTAATGCCAGCTGTGTGCTGCAGAAGAGTGAGATACTGGAGGAGTGGGTGGACTGCAGAGGTGTGAGCACAGTGCCGTGCCTCAAGGCGACGGTGACGGTTTACTTCAATGGCTCCACCGAGGAGGCCGTGCTCCACTTAAATGAGGATTCTGTTCTCCTCGCGACCGAGGTGTGGATTTAAAACACAAAATTCCAGGTTTTAGGAATTGTTACATGAACTGCTCAGGAGGAGGACATCAGCTCTGGAGCATTAAATCTGAATATTAGGTCTTTATATCTATATAGCACAGCATGTAAGATTACTTTGTTTAGTAATTCTTAATTTTAATTCTCAGGTGTTTTATTATCCATCTAAGCATGGACCTGGGAATGCATGTGAGAAAGCGATGAAGGCTGAAGTAGCTGACAGGATGGAAAAGCAGCAACACTTTTAATGCCTGTGCCCTTGTGAATAAGCCAGTAGATATTATTAGGAGATGCTCTCACACTGCACTTCTGCTCCATTCAGAGAGATGCTATGAAGTATTTTTCGGCACCGGTGCAGAAAACGGAGGCTTGTAAATTCCCTTTGCTTTTTTTAACAGACACCAAAAAAAAGACCCTTGCAGCTCGTCGCACTGATTGCAATCAGTCCTGCCAACTGTAAGGGGTAGGTCACTTGATAAAAAATTACACTTGAATCTTATCTTTTTCTCTCTCAGTGTTTCTACATGCCCAAATGCCAAATGGACAGAAAAGCACTTCAGGATCAAGTCCAGAAAGTGAACGGCAGCCTGGACAGTCTGCTCGGGAACAACACCGCATGTTTAACTGATCAGACGAGGTACCCCAACCACGCCATCTTACGCAGGAAGTACACTTTGCAGATGGTCCTATTTGCACTGCTGTGGCCCTGTATACTTCTGGGCGGTGGAGCTCTGCTGGTGGGCCTTGTGAAACTGACTCAGTGTCTAGCCCATCTGTCCACAGAGGTGATCAGTGAAGCTGCAGGGGGCCGGCTGACTTCAAGATACACTCAGGGCAAACTGTACAGGCTGCTCCGTAGGTCCAGCGCACAATCTCCCTCATGACATGTCCAGAGCTTAAGTTGTAATATGTCAAAAAATGCCATTTTTGTAAGCCTTTTAACTGGTACATATCCAGTTATCTAGTGTTGATTTGTAAAAGGTTAGTCAAAGTAAAATGTTGGTCTGAAGTGTGAGAATTGAAAATCTATACAGTTTTTGCCTCCTTATTAAAAAGTGCCTTCCTCTGTTATTAAATAGACACTGATGTCCAAATGTTGGCAGAAAGAAACAAAGTCTGCTTGAACAGCCACACCATTCATGATGTTTCACACTCAGTCAGCACCAATTAGTACCTCTCATGTTTAATTAGGCATATATTCAATATTTGTTAAGTGTCGAGCAGGTAGCGCTCCAACTTTCTCGGGCCAGGGATCACTTACAGGAGAGAAGCATTCCAATGCTCTCCTGATAATCCAAACACTGATTTATCTAGCCTGGGCTCTGGGTCACTGACTAATACTTTTTAATGTTTTCCAGATAGCAAGCTGGCTAATAAGTCTGTTTATGAGGGATGATTATTTGCACCCTGAGAGAAGTGAGGAAATTCGTGACAGATTGATGTTATGTGTCACAGTTGGATGAGAGTTTCTATTGGTCCAATGATAATATGTGAGGGAGTACTGGACACAATATATTTAGAATAATAACAGACTCTGCTTGAATGTCTTTGCATGATTCATGGTTAAAAATAATTCTCATCCTGGAGTTTTGTGTAAAACTCTCAATGCACTTCCCGTGTCTTTATGTTTCACTTCAAAGGATCCAGACTCTCTTGTTATTTTTAAAGTGCTTTTGAGAGATAGATCTACAGGTTTTTTGAAGCTTTTTCACAGTATCTCTTTTTGGACACTTGTTGTTCTTCATTCATTTTCAGTGCAATCCTTGAATAACTGAACATGTCCAGAGGATTTCTTCTTTGTTTGGTGTTTGTTTTTAAGCCACTTAACACTGGCCTATAAATCAGTCAAGCATAAAAAAGCAACTAACTCAACGGATGAACCAGTGTTGTGTCTACATGCAACAGACAACTTGACAAAGACCATTTTAAATTGTATCTTTAGGCACTCTGTTAACTTGTACCCATTTGCTTAGATGAAAAATTCTAAGAAAGATGTATAAAATAACAGAGACAAACATGAAGTAGTATTTTTACACCAACAAGGTGATTCCCAAAGCGCCAGTTGCAGAAAACATGACCTAACTCAGCATGGTGTGCAGTGTGCCCCTAAAAAACCATCTATAGCAGATGAACTGTATCTGAAAGTCATGTCTGTAAGAGACAATATCCAAAAAAAGACCTGACACAGGACCTAAAGATACATCTGGCACTACTGTTCACTGAAGCCTAATAAGAAACGACCTAAGTGGAAGGGTGGGTGTTAAGATGCCTCTCTTAATGAGTGGACTGGACTTAAAATCAGTGGCAACTGACATTTTTTGTTAAAATCATTGTCAGTATGTGTGGAGGAGAGAGGTACAACAGTGGGTGTCTACAGCCTTCTGTAAAACACGGTGGAGGCTGTGTTGTGGTTTGGGGCAGCGTTTCAGCCATTGGTGTTGGTGATCTTAACAAAATTTGTAGAACAGATCAGCATGAATGATCCCGAACACGCTGCCAATGCAGTGAAAGTATACCGGGATAGAAAAATGCAGAATGTAACACTATCGCTCCCTAGATCCTGGACCTCACAAAAAACAGTAAACATCCAAAGATACGCTTTGAATGTCCTTCAAGAAGCCTGGAGAACTATTCCTGAGGACTACGCGATCGTGGCTCAAAAGTTGGGAGTTCGCCTTGTAATCGGAAGGTTGCCGGTTCGAGCCCCGGCTCGGACAGTCTCGGTCGTTGTGTCCTTGGGCAAGACACTTCACCCGTTGCCCACTGGTGGTGGTCAGAGGGCCCGGTGGCGCCAGTGTCCGGCAGCCTCGCCTCTGTCAGTGCGCCCCGGGCAATGTAGCTTGCCGTCACCAGTGTGTGAATGGGTGGATGACTGAACGTGTAAAGCGCTTCGGGGTCCTTAGGGTAAGGCTAAGTAAAGCGCTATACAAATACAGACCATTTACTTTAAAAAAAATGAAAAGAAAGCTGCCCAAAAGGGTTCAGGCTGTGATGAAGAATAAAGGTAGTCATATAAAGTACTCACTGCCAACCTTCACCTTGTATACAGTTTCCATGTTTTTACTTTTCAATAAATGTACGCACTTATTTCCCCAATTCTGAGCAACATATAAAAACATGAGGAATGACTCAAGACTTTTGCACAGTAGTATCAATTACTCTTACCGTAATCATTTAATGTTAGATAATGTTAATTTATTTCACAAGTGTGCCATATTGCACAGACCCTTCTAATAAGTCTTTTTTTGTATTTTTCTATGGAAACCTTTATAATGCTTCTCTTCATGGCTTTTGCTCACTGTGTAAATATTATTCTGGAGTTGTTTTTTTGTAAGCATGGAAATGAAAAAGTGACTTGTAAATTACCTAAATTTTTAAACGAGTAAAATAAACCGACAGACTTATTCACGAGGAGAAATGTTTTTATTCAACAGCACAATAAATGAATGCATACAGACATGGTGATATGAGGATGACTAAAAATAAGTATTTGAGGTGTTTTTTTCTGACATATACAGGTGGAAAGATAACTAGCATGGGTCTGGATCATTTTAAAACATGCAGGGTAGTTTCTTTGTACGCGTTGTGCTTAGAGACTTCCACTTGGGGCAAAAATTCCCTCCACTTGATGTGAGAATGGTACTCCAACTGCAGCACCAAGTCCTTGTCCTTCAGTCACATCCTTTTCGATGACAAGAGGCTGTTTGCTGGATTTTGCGTGAGGATGGTGAATGTTACACGTGACTCCTCCTTTTTTTTTAAACTTTTTTTTTTTGCCTTTTTCCTGGTTAGCCGTTACTCATGAGATTGCTTACATTTAAAAAATACAAAAATATATTACCTCTGTAGTTATTCAAGGAAAGCATTTGCACACGTATCAGTATCTGTTAACTTCACTGTGACTTTGTTGTACCTTAAACAAGTAACAAGGTCATTTCTATACATGAAATTCAAGTAGACAACATCAGGTCGAAGAAAAAAAAAAAAAAGATAGATAGTCATGCATAATGCAGTGTGAGAAACAAAACAAGTACAAAGGGAGAGAGCGTGGTTTAGATAGGGCTTCTATAAAGTATATGTGAGGGTTAGTTCTGTCAGTTCGGGTCCGGCCCACTGCTCTGTATCCCGTACAGAAGCGCGTGCATGTCAGTCGACAGTTTCCTGAGCAGTTTTAAGTCCTCGCTCAAACTTCGCTTACTTTAACAGACTTAACGTTTCCAGGAAACCGCCCTGTTAGGCATCACTTTAGTAAAGCTACAACACTTATGGACGCGTACGAGAGTCTGTGCAGCGATAACGCCGGCCACGCTTCCACGCACAGGGCAACAATCACAGGTATGGAAGAAGACACTTGGAAGGTTTCAAAAATATAACTTCGGATACTTTTCTTTCTTTGCTCTCTGTGATTGAGAGCAAAAAAGTTTTTTTTGTTTTATTTTTTTAAACACATGGCTTAGACCGAAGCTCCAAAGTTTCTCAAGGACAAGTAAAAGGCAGGGTGCAGAGGTGTTTTGCACAGCTCTTTCTGCTGGGAAGTAGACGATACTGTTACACGGCAACTTAGTGAGTTTTTTGGGGTTTTTTCCTTCTTCCATGCACTTTCTATACAAAGTCCACCGACGGTTCTCTGTGCGAGCACGCCAGGGGGAAGATGCGCTTCCCTCTGTGCCCGACATCAGTATACAGTACATGTTATAGTATTATGACTTGCATAGAGTAACTGCACAGCACACGAAATGAACACCGCACATCCTTTGTTTCTCACCCGTGTTAGCTAAACGACAATAAAACCACCAAACAGGAAAAAACAGGGATCTGCTGATATCGAGTTATCGAGCCTGACGTTTATCGACCTGTCAGTGTCGTCCAACATGAATCTGGTGCTGGCTAAATGTTCTGAGACTCTGTGATGAGGATGACCTTAAAAAATGTTTTTTCTAACTAACGTATTGAGCAAAAACATTGTTTTCCTGAAACAAACTAGCGCAATACAAAAACAAACAAAAAGGGGAAAAAAACCCAAAAAACGCTTTTGGCCAAATTCATATTTTGGTGCATCCAAAAAAGAAAAGAAAAAGAAAGACGAACCCTAACCAGCTGGTCATCAGAAAGGTTTTCTCGGGTCCATGTGCACTGAATAGATGACACGTTTATGCCTCTACATGTGACACAAACTAATACTGACAGACAAGGAAAAAAACAAATACTGCAGACATCAGTGCTAAGAGTACACACAAGACTTGGAATAGTAGTGATTATTTGGGGGGGGTTGTTTGTTTTTAACAATAAGACTGCTGACTAGTGGAGTTATGCATGTAGTACTTTGGCTCAGTAGAGAATAGATTCAAAAAGGAATATGTGCACCAAATGCATACAAGTATATGGATATACTGCTGTACAAAAAGTCACTTATATGACGGGACATGATTTGTACACGGGTAGGTTACAAATAGGTCATCATTGCAATTTCTTCAAATAGTGTTAAATGCTTAGTTGAGGTTTTCCCAAAAAACTTTGAGGTTTGTTCAGTGTTTATATAATCTTATTGGAAAATTCTGAGAGTACCTGGCAGGTGAGCTGCCCGGCTGCAACAACAGCCCCATCTTCACCTGGCCCCGCCTTCATCAGTTCAAAAATAGGTAGTTGAAATAATTCGGTTTCAATCTCTCTTTATAAAAAGCTAGCTGTGCTCATCGTGTATCACTTCATGAAGTTCCTCTCTTAATGTTGATGGTTGTAGAAGCTTTGAAAATAAAAAGATAAAATGTAACCTGTCTATACTTGGTTCACATAAAGGCCAATACTGTCCAGGTCCACGCTAGCTTAGCTCCTATGAAGACAACAGGTGAAATTTAACTCCACCTTCTTAAGTTCATAATGCAGGGAGAGAAATTTCAGACGTCTGTAAGGAAAAGGAGCATTTAGGCATTTCTTCTGAGCGTGCTCGTTTTGAGTCTCGCTGGCAGGCAAAGTTTCAGAGTCAAGCACTGGCAGAAATATTCACCAGGCCTTAGTGTGTTAGGGGAAACAACTTGCTTATTTTTTATTGTTCTTGTGGTTCTTCGTGTCCTGCTGCTGCCACCATTCTTTCCTCAGTTCATGGCATGCTGGCGAATCGTGTGGAAGATCCAGTCCATCTTGGTAGTCCAGCCGCCGTGGTGAGCGTCGTTCATCTGCTTCATGAAGTAGTCCAGGGCCTCCTGCTCCGACTTGTCCAGGGCCAGGGTCTTCCTGATATAAGCGATGTCGTCGAACGACTGCAGCTCAGGCATTCCTGAGCCCAGCATCATGGAGAAGAGGTTGATGAAGAGGTTGGCGTGCTGCCGGATTGCCAGGTACGC